ATGGAATGGGCTGAGGAGAAAGGCCTAAACAGATGTAGTGAAAGATTAATGGGAAGCTGGTGTTAACTAGGAGCCATATATAAATACACACTTCATGTTTATTTAGATTTTGTCTGTGGAACACTTGTTTCCCAAGTGCATTTTCAGATGCACATTGCAATTCTGCTTCCCATTTTTACGATTATGTTGTTGGCAGCTGTAAAGAAAAGAGATACACTCCATTTTGCTTATGTCAGAGACTGAACCTCAACAAAACACCCTGTGAGTGACTGAAAAGCAGTAATCTATACAGAGCATGTGTTGTGCTTTGTCAAAAGTGATGTGTTAAAATGCTGGGTTACTTGCATGTGAGGATGAATAGGAGGCATCATTCAGCAGCTTGCTGCTCAGTATCTACTTCTGAGTCACTGGGGAGGCCAGATGCCCCTTATCAGATATCTCAACTAGGACTGCAGAGCAGAACTGTATTAATTCTACAATTAAAATCTTCACCAATGTCCAATATAGTGTAATGGTCAGTTCAATGCAATTAATATTCTGTATGCTAATTTAAAATAGACAGACTTAAGCCAGACACCAGTATTACAACCTGTTGACATGCTTCATAGAATACCGGTCATACTTCATAACTGTAGATCTAGTGTAAGTTTTGAAGTGCTTTTCGCACTTCTGTGCAACTGCATAGAAGTTATCAGTAGGTCCTGACATTTTACACAAAATGTCACGGCACAGCAAAGAAATACTGTGCTATGACCTGTAAAATGCTTCAAAACATTTTATAAAAATATGTGCTTTTTTCCCTTAACAGTATAATGGAAAAAGCTTGTCAGAGAGAGCTTAGATCTGCTGATTGTAGAGACATACTTTTAAGCATAGCATCAACATGACTGTTTTGATAAGAAATGAAACTGTTAACTGAATGCATAAACCTGCATTCCTGCTTTGGTTTACTAAGATTCTATGTGGTGTAGTAGTTAAGGGCTAGGGACAGGAGGAGTTAAATCAACCCTTACATGGATAGAATTCTGGAGTTGCCCAGATCCTGACAGGTCCTTTCTTATTCTAGGGTGTAATTAATTGAGCCCTAGAGATCTGAACTCATTTAAAGAAATCAGGTGCTCCTTGACCATCTGTTTAATCTCAAGCATCAATTATTCACCTTCGGTTTTTACTTTATTTCTACCAGGGGCTTCATAGACCTGCTTTTGGGAAAAGACTGAACCAAAGTAGAAATTGAACACTTTTCTTTGTTGGGGATTACATGAAGAGAGCCAGCTGGAGCCGGGGGTCAGACTAGATGGCCCAGGTCATACCTTCTGACTCACTTTTTTCTATGTTCCTTACTCTTGGTTAGATTCACACCAAGTCTTCCAACCCTTGTATTCGAGCCTATATGCTTTACTGCCTCTTAACTCCTTAAATCAGAGTTGGATGGGATTTGTTTGGTGAGAGAAATGTTTGAGAACTATAGCAAGAATCTTCTCTGAAACTCCCTGTAGTTATTGCAAATGAACAACATCCTGAAACTCCGTGAACTGAATTATTTATTTACATTGCCTTTCTTCTATCAAGCAGAGCTTATAATGGTGGTTTAGTCTCCCATGCAGGCATGAAGCAGACTCAGACCTACTTCATAGAAGCCAGAGCAGAACTATTTCTAGATTAACCACTCTCACCAATTTCCAAAGGTAATTCTGAAAGAATTTTCAATATAGTCTTTTATAAATTTATAAATACCTCATGCATCAACCCGATATTGATAAAATAATCAGTATTAGCTACTACTCTCAAATGAGGATTTGCTGGATTTTATATGGAGCATGATCCTAGGAGATGGACAGAGTATATGATAATACATAAAGAAGATCTGGTAAGCTGCCTGCAAAGGCCCAGGAGGAATAGTAATTCTAATTTCAGGAATGAGACTGGGAAATATCTGAACAGATTGAGTAAATTATCATAATATATTCCACTGGCTTTAATATTAAGGTTGGAGAAGATTTACTTTGGCCTTCAAAGTCTACTGACAACACTGTCAGATAGGACTAGGCTATGTATATCATTCTGATTACATGTATATAGCAGCTCTAACAATATGTACATATATTCTAAATAAACAAATAATTAATCCTATTCAAATCCAGTATTTAAAAAGGAAAAAATGTGACAGTGCTGTCTAGACATACTACATAACATGAACAATATAGCTTCCTGGTATGGGTGTCTGAAAAAAATCCCCACCCACATACAAGTGGTACTATTTTCAGCCAAAATATACCCACTGGTATTTATGAATGTGAACTATGGAACAAGATAATATTTAAGGATTGGTTTTAAAATAGTTAGATCATAGATTTGCCATTTTATAATGATATTTAGAGTATGGAATTCGTTGGGTAACTGTAGCAAGCATATTTACTAAATTAAAAAAGCAAGAAGCAGTAACACATGTGCAGGAATGAATGCAATGCAGCATTCAAAATATTCAGTTGACAAATAAATAGGGAGTGTATTTTCAAAAACAGCTTCTACATGTATTTGCAAATTGAAAAATAATTGCAAAGATTAACTTACAATAATAGTATTCCCTCCTGCTAATACCAATCAGTGCAACTTTAATAATGTATCTGATAGATACTCAGGCTCGGGAATCAAGATATATCTTTTTAGCAAAGCAAAATTCAGTATTAAGTAATACATATTTAAGTACCTACATATGAGATAATTTGGTAGAGCTTTGGTCTTGAGCAAATTTCTTAGGGAGACCCTCATGAAATCATGGATACAAACTTCAAGGTATATTTAGGATTGTGAATCAAGAAATATAGTTCAGAGACAGCACTAAAGAAATGGCTAGAAATGAGAGAATAGAACTAGAACAGTGGCTTTTGGGATACCATAATGACTGTTTAAGCAAGATAAGTTCTTTTATTTCTTCCCAAATTGCTGAGCCCTTCTAGTTTGCTCATTAACTCCAGGGATAAGTCTACCAAAATGCAATCAGGCAAAATTTTCAAACCACAGCAATCAAAGTAGTTAGAACTTCCAGGCAAAATGTCTGTTCTAATCTTCAGGACCCCAAAAATGAATTTGTAGTACAACAACAACAACAACAACAACAACCCATGGTTACTGTTTGACTCTTAAGAAAATAGAAGCAAAAATCTTTGGCCAATGCAGAATGTAGCAGAATACAAATGACCTTCCTACCAACTGGTATGAATGTATATTCTCATGTGTCACTAATTTAGAAGCATTGGGAGCAAATTTTCTCATGTCATGGATGCCTGTTAAACATTACACAGGTACAGCGGGAAGAACTTTTCTGTGGATTTGCACATACTACTTGCATGACATCAAAGGCCTACGACTACGCGTGCCGGTCCGATTGTTTGAATACTGGTATTTCCAGATCCCAGTTTCATGAAAATGGTCTATGCAATCAAGCCCATCCATATGGCTGCACACCTTTATACACCAAGGGATTATCCCATAGAAGCATATTTCCCATTGAACTAGTACAAGATGGGCGTCATTATTTCGAAAAGGAAAAAGAAACATGTGGTTTTCTTAAAGGAATGTAATGCTGTTCCAGTGGTTTGTAGAAAATCATTCCTTCCTGGATGCCTTATGACACTGAAAGGGCTGTTATTGCACCTAAAGATCCTATTTTCTTGGTAAATGGAGATTTTAGGCTTGGTAAATGGAGATTTTAATCAGAAAATTCTACCTCATTGCCTGTAGTTTTTCCCCACCCCCACCCCTAGTAAAAGCAGCCGGGTTAAGCACACATGATTGACAGTATATGTAATTCTGTCTTATATTGATTACTTGTTATTTCTCCATACGCTTCAGGTAATCCAGGTCTATTTACAGCAGTATTTATTGGCTTACAGGTTCCAAATTTACCTGACCATCCTGGGAGGCAGCGGCAGTAGCCAGTAGTTGGGTGACAGCCATCTGCATGGCTGCAGTCACAGCGCTCTGCACAGTCCAACCCGTATGTGCCATCCTGCCAGCAAGCAAGAAATGAAGGGAAATCACACAGCGAAGTGATTTTAGTTGAGCTAACACACAAGTGGCTCAAAGCCTCACATTTCAGCACATGCTTGATGGGGCAGAGTACCTTTGATCGCTGAGAACAACAGCAGAACGTGTTTGTTTGATTAAGGGCTCGAGGTTATTGTCCTTGTGGTGGATGCTTATAAGCTTCCAAAGTCAAAGGCTTGCACGCATCCAATGCAAGATGCAAAGTGCCGCAGCGACCATCTCCAGGACTGCCATACCTCACCTATTCCATTTTCTCTAGATGACCATTTTTAGGTCATGCAGCTTGGACTCCAATGTATCCTGTGGCCACCCAATCAACATGGAGAAACCATAAGCTTGCAACTGAAATGAATACATCTATGACACAAACTTATATGCACACATCATTTAAAAAAACCTAAAGAATGGAATTGATGAGAACAATCACCAGCCAGGAACTGTATATTCACTTACACAATGCAAGAGAACATCAGATAGCTATCCTGTGTCTCTTCAGTACTGAATTCCAGAAGTGGTTTAATTTGCACTGAAGCGCCACTACATATTTGAGCAAACTGCCTTTTTGTGAGGTACGAGTTTAAATGAAACTGGTATGACCCAATTGGAGAACAACTGAACCCTCTACCGATGTCCATTGGTCCTGAGTTGAAACAGAGGTGGTATGATGGAATATTGACTCCACAAAAGCTGATTGGAGCAACTATAGATGACTGGAGCAGCTATAATAGCTGCTGGGAAACACCTAGAGAATTCACCTGAGGGGGGCTGGCTTGAGGAAAGTTGTCAGAAGAGCAGCCACAAGACCTGGAACCAATCTGGCAGCTGAAAGCATGAGAAGGAAGAACTGGTGTGCTAGTGAGTGACTTTTAGAGGAAAAAGCTGACACCTGAGGTCGACTGCTGCTGCTGCTGCTAGTCTGAAGGCTGGACCAAATTAAAAATTTTAGGGAAAGCCTAGTGAACAGTCTTAAAGGTGCCAGGAAGAAGTCAAGCCCTTATTGCTAGGACTGTAGGTCCTAGGGATCTTGATAGGGAATTGGTTCAGTTTGGGTTAGGGTTTGAGGTAGGAACTAATTTCTATGGCTGCAGGAAACTTGGAGGCAGAAAAAAATGGAGATGGAGTGATTCTGTAAAGTAAATAACAGTCTTGAGTTTACAAGAGCTCAGCAAGATTGTCAAGAACAGGACTTATTAGGGGACACTCATTCATGGGACTGCCATAAGTCAGAGATGAGTTGACAGCATGTAAGAACAACAGGAAAACAGTGTGTGTGAATCTGTGTGCACACGTGTGCACGTGCATAGGTCTACATTCTAGATCTGGACATGATCACACTAACAGGAGAATCCAAACTGCTGTTCAAAACCAAATTCATTTCCTGCTATTTTAAACTTATACCTATATGTGTATTGCACAGCATAAGGATTAGCCATCCAGCTCTATCCTTCTTTTCTAAAGCAGAACAACATGGCATATGAATAAAGAATAACAGTCTTCTGTTTATCTCTGTAATCCATTTTAACATAGAAGAGAATAGATTAAAGGAATCATTTTCTGCGAATGCAATCTGATGTGAGAATAAAAAATTCTCCCATACACATTCTGGTAAAAGTAAATTGAAGGCAAGCAAAGTATACACTTTAAACTTACTGTATTCATTAAGATATCAGTGATAAAATGTGTACCAAGTTTTATTAAAATAATATAATATCTTAAATTCAACAAACATTTTCATGTGTGTTACTGTTGTGACTCCCAGAGCCCATCTTGTGGATTCTTTTTAATTACCGGACAAGGCTGTTCACATTTTTCTTCTCTCCATCCTGGTGCACAGGTGCAAGTTCCATCCAGCGTATTACAGGCCCCGCCATTAAGACATTGGCATGTTAAATTACAACCAAGACCCCAAGTCCCACTAGGGCAGTTGATAGAGCAGTCCACTCCATGCCAGCCTGACACAATAAAGACAAAACGCCTCTTTTCAGTACAGTTCTGACTTTGAAATCCACTGAATGAAAAACAGTGCAGTCCCAATGTCCACACAAACACCATTCACTCTCAGTGATGACCTGCAGACTGGTCCAGAGTCACTCTCCACCACATCATTTTCAGGACTACTCTCATAGGAGAACCTTTTACTACCCAAATAAGATTGGGCTAACTGGATGCCACTTAGTATTATGCCAAAACATCTCTCTCTCTCTCTCTCTTTTTCCCTTATCATGTTCATTCAATTTGATAGAAAAGGAAAAAAAGATTTTTCAACAAGATTTAGAGTGCAAATTGCCTCAGGCACTCTGGATGATGGCTTTAACTGAGAAGGTCAAGAGGTGTATGACCCAACTGATTCTCGTGGATCACTTGGCAGCTTCTGATGGCATCAGTGGTAATATTCCTCTGGATAGAGTGTCTCAGCTGGGCCTTGGTGGGATTGTGCTGCTGTGGTTCTCTTTTCACTTACTGTAGGTGGCCAATCAAAAGATGCTGGTGATAACTTTTGTTCTGCATGTTGAAAACTACACTAAGGAGTTCTACAGGAGTTCTGTTTATCTCTATCTGAAACTATCAGGAATGGTTATCTAGAGATACAGACTGGGATGCAGGTGACACCAAGTGACACTTTACACCAAGGTGACACTTGGGATGCAGGTGACACTTGTCTCCTTTTCATCAAATCCAGGTGAGACAGTGGATACTCTGAATCAATGCATGAATTAAGTAAAATTAGAGTCTGAACTACTGACTTCTAGTAAGCTCTTGTTTGATTCATACATGACACAGCTTTTCAAAACAGTCCAAAAAATTCAACTCCAAACTAACCATAACCCTGTATTGGTCCAGTTCAGTTCAGATTTATTTTTGTATATTGTCATCACACCATCACAAAACAGAAATTCAACAAAGGATACTAAAATACATTAACCCATATTATATAGAATAAATGTCACATTTTGGGTTTCTACTTAAATAACTAAAATCACAGAAACCCATACAAAATGGTTAATTTAACATTGAATCTCCCTAACAAGGCCTATCATTCTTGTTTAAGAATGCAAAATATGCAGTCTTTGTCATGCCCCCACTGGGCAATTCCTCCTTGGAAGAAGACTAAGAGCCCCTACCAGCCATTGGGGCTAAGGACCCTAGGATCAGACATTCTGGAGGAGAGGTTTCAGAGGTGGAAAAAACTCCCCAGTTCCTGCCTGAGACATGCCGGTTTCCAGGAGTCCAGCAAGAGAGCAAGAGCTCAAATCTTTAAGTGCCATGATCCCAGTCTGGTTTGGGGACATGCATGCTTGTAAGGAAAACAGTTATGCATAACTCCGCCATACACAGGTGAACATTTAGTTTGCTCTAACAGCAGTTCTTCAGCACTTCAGGGAAGATTTTTTTCCAGCCCTTTCTGGAAATGCCAAGATTGAACCACTATGCTGTGGTGGTCCACAAATATCAAAGAGAAGTTGGTTAAAAGTGTTGCTTGTTAGCATTTTTGATGCATAGAAGTATAGGAAATGCACCGGAGATATCCCTTAAAGTTGGGGAAAAAATCTTAGCTGAACAATCTGAAATAAAAGTTATGGAATTCTAAATTTATACTTTGCTTAAAGCACTTAATGGATCTAATCAATACATATTCAATATACATGCATGCTGAAGGATGCCAGTACGCATTCCTTTGTATAGCCTAGTTCTAATTATAGTTATTATCTTATGTATCTGTTCCATTTGTTTATTGTTGGTTTGCACATGTAAATAAATAGTCTGAGATCAAGATAGGAATCAGATTCCTATTACGCATTTGATTCCTGTATTTTAATTCTGCCCCCTTTTCTAGACATAGGCCTTGGTATATGTAACATATTTCAGAATAATAAGAACCAGGTTGTTTGGTTTTTGAGAAGAGCTTAGTTACAAGAATGGTGCTCAGAAGTGGAAAATTTGTATGTTCGCTTAATACCTCTACAAACACATTAGCAGGGGCCTATAAGTGTTGTGTCCTTAATGTTTAACTAATGATGAGTGTAAATCAAGATACCCATCTTCCTTGTTTCAGTAGTCCATTCTAAGTTTTTAAAATCTTTCATTTGAATTCTCTAAAAAGAGATAAATTATTCATCTTACCTGCTTTGCAGGTACAAGAACCGTCCACTGGGGAACAGATGGCCTCATTTTTACAGTTGCATGTAGATGAACATTTTACTCCGTATGTTCCAGGAGGGCAAGGAATAGAACAGTCATAACCCTAAAACATGTTTGACAAAGCATAAGGAAGTAAGACAAGGAACTTCATTCACACTTTCTTTAAAAATGACTTAAAGGGGAGTATTTGAACAGGCAATTGCCATTATTTAAATTTAGAGCAGAGCATACATCTAAGGGCTGTTTTGTATGCTACTTTTCCCCACATGTCTGTGCAGGTGTTATACCACTGGCCACTTATGCCCAGGGTATTCATGGCAAAAAACACAATCCTCTCCTGTATATACCTGCTTTCTTAGATAGAGTATATTTTACCAATCTGAAAATAGTCTAACAAAGTCCTTTAGGATATTTTAGATTTCAATAGCCCACGCTGGAATTGTGCAAATATTGTAAGGAATACATTTAACAGGCTCTTCTGTAGAATCCATCTGAATATGCAAAATCTGTCCCTTTATTCCCTAAGAGTTTACTGCCACACTGCCATTGACATTTATAGAAATACTGTTGACTTTCTCAGATACTCTTGATTTTAGGAACTGCATGTTGCTTGATGCACAACACAGCATGATGCAAATCCAAATATAGGTGCTGTTGATTGCTTTCAGCAGGAGGCATATATGAAAGGAGGTCCCTGTCCTTATGCCTTTAAGCCCAAAGGGCTGATCAGCCTGCTGGGGGAACACAATTTGAGCAGCAGCTGACATATTTTGATGAGGGCACCTGTGGGCCACAATGTGACCCATGGGCTGTCCATATGTGCTTTATTTATAGTGCATATTATGCAAAACCATCACTTAAATCCTTGTACTAGAAGTGTATTTGCTGTTCCAACAGTTCCTTATGCTTTTTCTCCACTGTACTAATTTTAACCCCGGGGCCTGGTCCAACCAAGACATTTGAGGATACTTAGGAAGAAACAAAACCACTTGCATCAAAGATGATATACAGTTTATTGAATTCAGTGATGAGATACGGAAACAGAATGTGAACAAGCAAGAGACAGCTTATACTCCTTTTCGCTACAGCTGTACTATTAATCTGAAGTGACCAAGGATGGTCTATGGGTCTCCAAAGTTGCATGGGTGAACAGCATGTTAATTCTACTCAAGCCAAGAATCAACGATGACATTTCTTGCCATTGATTTTATAAAGCTACTTGCTTCAACTGTTTCAGAGGCATCAACCCTACTACCTGGTGGGGTGGGGACAAAGCAGCTTTAGTGAAGGAATCATTTTCATTCTTACCACAAACGCTGGCCTTATCTTTAGAAAGACTGGATAAGGCAAGCTCCAAGGCTGTCTCTCGTGTTCTTCCTAACAAGCTGAGGCCCCTAAGGCTTTGGTGTAGCTCCAAGAAACTATCCTGGCTTTGGGATACTGAGAAAGTTCCCTAGACTATTTGTTGACCCTCACAATTCTTCTTGTAGCCCCAGTATAATTTAGTAATCATTTATTTCATTTGTGGGTTCCTGTTCTTCTTATTCTCATACACAGGAAAATTATTCTAGCAAATCCACTTATTAAATTCAGTAATCTGTAGATATGAACATAAAACTATTTGGTTTTAATTGACCTGACTTTTTAAATGTTCAGTTCATTGTCTCAGTTATCACTGAAAAGCTGACTCTGTGTCCAAAGGCCTAATAAAGCCAATCTGGACTGGAATGATTTACCTTAAATCCTGGGGCACAAATGCATTTCCCAGTCACACTATCACAGTCGGCGCCATTTTGGCAACTGCAGATCTGTTGACAAGATTCACCATAGAACCCTGGGGAACACGTCTCATTACAGTAGAGTCCAGACCAGCCAGGCTTGCAGGAGCATTCTCCAGACATTGGGTGACAGCTGCCACAAAGGGATGAAAGGAAGAAAACACTTGGAGCTAAATAGGACACCAAGAATCCTCCACGCAACAGCATTCTGTCAGAGTCGCATTGTGAAAGTATTTCACACAGAGGGCTTCTTCTGAAATGCATGCAAGCCCTAATATGACACCATTTCATGACAGCAATATCTAGACACTCTATTTTATGCCTTAAGTGAATTAGAACGTGTGTGAATGTGGCTGAAATTAACTGTTGAAATAGAGTGTGGCAGAAGTACAAATAAGCATTATACCATTGTTTTGAATCATGTAACAAACCTCAGCACTGTATGAATGGTTCATAATGAAGTAACTGTTCATGACAAGAATAATTTGACTGCCATTGAGACCTAGGTCATAATTTGCATTTTTACTTGATAGGGAGACCATACAGAAATGCAGTACTGCTTTATGGTATGCGAACTGACATAACACCTCGGCCCAAATTGGACATGTAGATAAATATGCCTTTGCATTTAGGAATTTTTCCTCACAACTGCTGCAGGGTAGAAAAGTGTTAAATACCACTTTCCATGCTCACTGCAATCTCCATAATTTTCAGCCTCCAAAACTGATTCTAGTTGTTCTTTTTAAAAAGCCTTTTTACAAGGACACATTTAACTCCCGGGTAGTTTTTTTCCTGAGTGAGAAACCTTTAATCTCTTCATTCAGAGTAGGGCTTTAGTTTGTGACTTTTTTCTTTCATGACAGTGATGCCAAATCACTTTTGCGGGGTAAAGGTCAGGAGCACTCTCGCGACCTTGGAACATGTGGACGGCCTGTAGTTTCCATACCTGGAGACACCAGCTGTCTCTACCTGCAAACAGCAGCTTCATTCAGTGCCCAGGCACACAGCTGTTAGCTTGTAACAAATGGACACCATCAGCTGTGCTAAGATATATGTGCCTGGAAGTGGACACAAAGGCTACTCTGTCGTGCTCTGGCAAACAAAGCACTTAGCTTAGCGCTCACCAAAGGGATGCCTTAATATCCAGATCAATTATGTTTACAATAGACAGCCTGTTTAAAGATGGGCTCTGATCATGGATTGAAGTAATATTCCCTAAGGCATTCTGAAAGAAAAAAATGTACCCACGTCCAGACACATTAAATGAAGAATGGCAGGAGGTTGCCTTCCTTCAGTGATTTAAAAGGAATGTCTCTGGTCAAGATTCCTTGTCAGAGCAGTTCCTTACTGTTTCCTGTTCTTTATCACTATTAATAAAATATGGTCAGCCCTCCCCATTCCCCCACAAAACCCAAAGTAAAATAAATAATGTACATGCACATGTAAAGCATGCTTTCAAATCAGTCCATATATACAGGAAGCAAGAACTGATTGGAAAATGACTGATACATTCTTGTTACATATTTCTGAAATAGTTTAGAAGTTGATGTTTTATTTTGTTACCTAAAATGATCTGAATAATCAGGGCTTAATCTGATATTTTAATAATCATAATCTTAATAATTGTACTAACAGGATTAAAATGTGCACTTTTACATTCCTATACTTATATTATTCTGATCATTTTATAGACTTATTGCACAATAATAAATCAGTGCACTAAGATATTTCTTACGGAAATCACAGACATCATTGCACAAATAAAGTCTCCTCCCTATTAATACAATTATCTTTAGGGAATTAGCTGCTTGCTTATTTTCTCTCTCTCTCTCTCTCTTTGAGAGCAGATAGAACATATGTACAGTGGCATAAAAGTCAAACTGATTGATATTCTGCCAGGGATATTCCCCTATTCCTGGCCATATTAGGAATTAGGAAGTCTGAGTTGCACATATATTGACTGACAGCAAAATTAGTATTCCATAATTTGTAACTGCAGTTGGGAACCAGAAACACTTTAGAAGCTTATTATAGTTCTTGTTTGGTTAGTTTAATTGGCAATGCTTAGGTAACAAAGATATTAAAGCACTGAAATTACAAAACTGATTAACCATCTGAAACCAAACAAAGCTCCTGAATACAATTTCATTTCAGCGGAGGTTATTCAAAACAATTTAGATTGGTGGGTACCTGTTTTGGCTTCTTTATTCATGTATATTGACATACTAAGGTTCCCAAGGATTGGGGGCTAGCCTTGGTGATTCCAGTCTATAAAAAAGGAGGGAGAGATCTACCCGCCAATTACAGCCCTATTAGCCTCCTTAGTACAGTTAGCAAACTTTACGCTAGATACGTGTATTATAAGCTTCAGAACTGGGTTATACCTGAGAATATTTTGGCTGATGAGCTGGCAGGTTTTAGGGAAGGCCGCTCAATCATTGACCATGCACTAACACTTCAACATCAAGTTGAGAAACATTCTTCTGGAGCAGCTCTTCACTCTGTGCAGCTTTCATGGACCTTAGATGTGGTTTTGACCTCATCTCCAGATCCAAACTCTGTAAGAAACTGAACTCTTCTTCAATTGATTAAGATTACTTGTGCTTATATATAAATTATATGAGAATTCTTGGGTGAAGTTATGTTGCAAAGCCCAAGGACACTGCACTAAAGAAATTCCAGTTAAGAAGGGAATGAGACAAGGATGTATAGTAGTCCCTCTGCTTTTTATATATATATTTCCTTATTGATAAAATCAACAGCCCTTCTCTTCATCTGCAAAAATTGGAAAATAGACACATCTCTGCTCTTCTGTACGCAGTTGATGCTGTGCTACTTTCTCAAGCACAGATTGGCCTGAGCTGGATGTACTAGCTGAGCATTGCCAGCAAGATGGTTTAGAAATTAATTACTCTAAAACCAAAGTTGTGGTTTTTGCCAAGCGCCCCAAGATGCATGTTTGGTGGCTTAATAACCATCTAATTGAGCAAGTTAAATCCTTCAAATATTTGGAGATTGTCTTTCGTGTTATGGGTAACTGTAAATCTCATGCCAACTACGTCATCTTAAATGCACAAAAAACAGTGTTGGCCTTACAAACTTTTTACTTCTCCAAAGGCTCATGGTATATACCCACAGCAGCTAAAGTCTTCTCAGCTAAGATTCAAGCCCAGCTCCTGTTAGGAGCTCAGTTGGGACCCTACAGATGTTTTCATCCCTTGGAAAGAGTTCAGTCTAAGTTCCTGAGGACCATCTTTCAAGCACCCCACTGTATTTTGAATATGGTCCTTCAACATGAAGCTGGTCTTCTTAAAATCACAACTTAAGCCTGGATTTACATCTTTTCTTACTGTTTCAAGTTCTTCTTCCTTCCAGCTAGTTTGGTCTCTTTAATTATGACCAACAGCTTTCAGAACTCCTGGAGTCAGGCAATACAGGCCAAACTGCAATTATATGGTTATTCATGGCCTGCTATCTCCTAGATGGACTATGAACAGGCATTAGCAGAACTGAAACGGTGGGCCATTGATCTAGGACTACAAGCAGATTATCCAATTCTACCCAAAAACACCTTCCTGAACCATTCTGCACATCTTCTTCAACCAGCTAGATAGCTCAGTAGCATAACAACCCCCAAATTCAGAAGAGCTTTATCTCTAGCTAGATTCAATGCCCTCCCAACAACTGTTACTGAGGGGAGATATCAAAAACTACTCCTTGAGCAGAGCCAGCGCCCATGTGGGGGAGAAATAATTGAATCACTTATTATTCAATTATTAAGGTCATATGTTATTCTTTACTGTCCTCTCTATACAGATGCTCACCAGGAACTCTTATTCCCACTTTATTTTCTAAATATCCTGGTCACTACTATTCTTTTTATCTTAAGTTACTTTTATCCAATCAATCTGATTTTGTCTCCTTGACTATGCCCAAATACTGTTTGATATATTGTACAGTGCATGGTAGAAGTAACCCTAAATGTTTTTAGGTTCTACCAGAATGCTTTTATTTTCCTTATCTTTATTACTGTAATTTTAGAAGTACTGTATTTTTCTTATTTTAACTAATTGTAACTTTCTGTTTTATTTATTGGCTGGTCAATAACCAAATAAAGAATTGATTGATTGAAAAATATTAAAGAATGCTATGCATACTTATCTCTTTTATATTTTGCATCATGGACATCAGATTAGCATTTAAACCTGCAATGACTCAAATGGAACACCATCTATCCAACAGTAAGTTATGCAGAGAAGTCAGACTTGCTAATTGCCTATTGCCTCAACAGAAGGGGCAAAGTTAGTATCCTATTTAAAAACCCAAGAACTATCTAGATAATCTAGATAGTTTTAAACCACTGATGTGTTTCTGCAACTGGGACCACAGCACATTCATAGAGAATATTTTTATGAGCTTGTATGCCTATAGTTGGAAAACAATGAAGGAATAATATGTATATCACATTAATACACATGATCATGCACAGCTGATGTACAGATAGCTACTCTTGATTCACAAAGGAGAGCTATGTGAATATATTTTAGATATGTCTAGCCATGTGTTAAACGTTTAGTTTCTTTCTTTGGAAGTACCAACTCAAGAGTTTTCTCTTCTGAACTAAATTGTAAAATGAACAAACAGATGCTCCCACGCCTACATATTTTCTATGTCCACTCAATTTGTCACAGAATGGGAGAAATGTCAAAAACATATTCCAAAGTAGTCATATGCTTCTGTTTACATCTAACCACTTTTAGTTTGACTCAACCATAGGCTGCCTTCCAGTAATCTAAATGAAGGAACAGCTGTGTTTAACATGAATCAAGGGTAATCCTTGAAATATCAGAAATGCTATACAGTGCTGTGCTGTACAGTCTTGTCAATGTAATGTGTTTACACAAATCATTGTTAATTTTGAGAGATTAATAACTCCTCCAAACAACTTTTAATAAAAAACAAGATTGGTGGAATGTTCCAGCCCAGAAGTCACTTACCGTTCTCCCTTCGCCTACAACATTTTTCAACAACACATTTATTTATTAAATTTGTATAAAAGCTGCCTGTTATCATAATGCTCTCTGGACAACCATTACAATAAAATATTGATAATAACATTAATGGAAAACACATGGAAAATGGAGCTGGCCCCAAAGCAATTACTGAACACAGCAAGCAATCAGAACTTTTACATATTCAGTCCTTGCTGATAATGATGCCTCAGAATGGTAACAATACTTCTATTAAAGTTTCTCTAGCACTTGGTGCTACAGCAACCATTTTAAATAAAAGCTTCTTGATTAAATGGAACCATTAATTCTGATAAAATAATGCATAGTCCTATTTAAGAAGAATAAATAAAATTTTTGAGCATTTGTCAGAGCACTCTAACTGAAAAGTGTTCATACAGTATAGCTTAAATACAGGTTGTGATCTTGCAAGACCTGCTGTGCTCATGTACAGTTTTTTGCACAAGGTGATTTTCTTTTCTTCTTGAAACAACAATCATCAGAGATGTGTAATGAAACTGTTCAATGTATGTTCAGTGAAAATCTAAATCAACTACTTATATAAATGTAAGTATTGCTTGCATTTGGGGAAGCCTGAATCACTCATTTCAAATCTGTACAAGGCAACTGATATTAATGAAATGAAATGTGGTTTCCACTCTTGTGTGCATTTCTATTCTTCTGTAGAAATATACATTTTATGTACACTTCTTTTGTGAATATGAAATCTAATTCTGCAATCTAAAGCTCCTTGCACTACTAGGAATGCACTGCAAAATCAAAATCTTTTCAAGAACTGATAGAAATTAGGCCAGAACTAAAAGCCCTCCAGACTTGTGAGCAGCAGCTACTACAACTGACATCTTTAGACATCTAGATACTGCTTCCTGTTTTTGTTCATCTTCAGTCTTATTACATGGCTTACCAAAATTGATCCAAAGACTGCTGGTGAAACAGTTCGTAACAGGAAAGTGAAAAGTTATAGAAGGTTACCTGCGAGTGTTTGGCAAATGACAAGGACATCTTCTGTCACATTTGATACCATAGACACCTTCAGTGCACAGCCTTGTTTCACAGTGTTCTCCTGTATATCCTGGCTCACAAAGACATGCACCACTAATGTGGTAGCACTTTCCACCATTCATGCACTGGCAGGTCTCTGCACATGCTACTCCAAAAGTCCCCACTGGACATTCATCCTGACACCTAGTGAGAGAATCGGGAAGAAAAATACGAAATCATGACCCTACTGCTTCACCTTATGCTGCCAGAACTGCAGCCAGAACATGATTATACAACAGATTAGGCTGTGGTCCTGATGATGTTTGAAAACTATTAACATAATTATTTAGAGCATTAGTATCCTGCCTTTTCTTCTTGTGGTAGCTTACTAAAATACTAACTTGAACAACCTATGATTCTTCCATTTGTTATTGCGACATTAGAATCTGGATATCCTGGCTTGTTTAGAGTTAAGCAACCCAAAACTTAAACCCATACTTTGTTATTGTTGATTACCCTTAAACAACCCAGTGTGCCCAGCTGCAGATGTCATTCCAACACAGTACTAACAGAATGACTGTAGGTTAATTGAAAGAAGTGGTAGCAAGCATGGAGAAGAGGGTATCCTTGCTACCACTAGATTTCAGCAATTTGTGCATTTTTTAAAAACCTCACCATATTAATTATTATTAATATTATGTGCTAATCAAAATAAATCTAGGTGCAAATGGGGCATGTATATAAACTTGTTAAAGAAATACAAGACATATTTTAAGTATAGGCATACACATCACCACTGTATGGATGTGAAGGGCATGAAGTAGACCTTGCTGCATGCAGGAAAATAGCTCTGTGAAACAGCATGCACACAAGAAAGGAAGAGAAAATTCTTAATTCGCCCAGGTCTACACTAAGGATCCTTCCATTTACGACGGAGCAGAGGCATGATAGTCATACAAAGCACATGCCCTACAGTTGGGAACATGCTAATGAATACAGCTTAGTAGAAAAAAATGACCTTGCGTCATCCACAAAAGCAATTGCAAGAGAAGCCAGAGGAGTTGGGAAAGGGATGGTGTACAGAAGAATGGCCCTCGAAGGTTCATTTGTTTTTCTGTATGTTTGCTTGTTTTTGTTTTTTAGCTCAATTAGCTAGGCCAAGGTGTGAAGGAGCAGGGATACCTTTAGAAAAGTTGTGGCGGGTGGGGAGTAGACAGCTCTTCATGTTCCCACACAAAAATTCATGAAGAAGTGGCAGGTACTGCTTCTTCCTTTCCTTCCAATGTCCATAGTAGAAAGCCAGGGAGCCCCATTTCCTTCCACTCCAAAGCACCCCATTTTGACTTTCCCATGAGTGAACTCTATCAAAGTCAACATAATTTACCTGTGGGTAAGGTTATTGAAGATAATTTGATTTGCTTCTGAGTAGACATGCATTTCCCATGGTTGTTTCTTGAGTAACAGGGCAAAGAAGATGGTTGGGAAGGTTTGAAGAGATGCCGCAAATGTTTTTTCAAAGACAGAGTGAGGGGAAGGAGCAGCGGTATGGCATTTGCAAGTCAGAAAGTGAAAGAAGGCGAGATTGGGAGCAGGAGCAGGGGAGCGACTGAAGCATCTCTGAAATGCTCCTTTTTTTGCTGAAGTCCCAGTACAGCACGTCTTCCTCTCTAGAGCAGTACCGTAAATTTAGCACACATTGATATACATTCCAGGAGAAAAATGTAACTTATAAAAAGCCATGATAAAACAGGTCTGAACAAATCCAGCAGATCCTCACAGAAATAGCACAAGGAGAATGGTTTGGGGTGATGGTCCTGTATCAAGCCACTGAATCAGTCATTACAATACCAATGTAAATGCTAACTTGAGATTGCTCCTGTGACAGATAAAGCATTCTGTTCTACCAAATACTTTATAAACAGTCAAGAGGAAGACGACAAATCTCTGCAAAAGGATTTCTTAATAATAGACTAGGATAAATGCTAAAAGATTGTTGTTCCTATTTAAATCCACTGTTCAGCTTTAAAAGTCCATTTGCACAAAGTTATCGCATCACTGTAAAATCTTTATCACTCAAACAGCAGCTAACATTTTTGAAAGCTTTGCACTCAGTAGACTAGAGTAGAGTAGATGGTTTAAAACAAAAATCATCCAGTCTGTCCAAAGCAAGACATAAAGGATTTTTCTGAGTGTTTCTCAGGAGTGTGGTACCATAAACCATCTTTGACACTTTAGTAAAGCAGTTGCTAACTGTGGTCAATTTTAATTTTATTTATGTTTTACTTGCTCTTATCCTTCACAACATTTCATTTACACTCCAGGACAAGGCAACACCATGTTTATCATAGATAGTCCAAGCGATAAGTACACTGCCAGAGGAAATAAGTGTGTCACAGAAAGATGATTTTAAAGCAAATTGTTCCAGAAATCTCAAGCCACAGAACCAACAAAAAAGAGGCCACACAGCTGCAGATAGTTGGACAAGTTAGAGAAATGTAGAAAATGTTGAGATTCTACACATGGCGTATGAACAAAGAAATTGAAAAGACACATAGATAAGTGGTCAATACTGCACACATGCAAGTTCTCAGCTTCCTTTCCCTGGTATCTCCATTTAAAATTGGAGATACCTCACCCTAATCTCATTTGAACTGTGGGCCTGTTTTTCCCTGGCTGTAGCTGCCCCATATTCCTCAGAGTAAATTGGTAGGGAATTTCCTTCATATGTCCTGCTTTAAGAACAAAAAAGCATATTTTCTAAAGTAGCTATCTCCAAATTCTGTCACAATTTTGATATGAGAAATGTAATTTTGAGAATATGCTTAAGCAAATGCTTCTTGTACAATACACAGAGGATGTAGCATGCAAGGAGCATTTTTCCTCTAAAGAAGTGCCTTCACTTTGCTTCAGGATCAAATCCAGAATGAATAAACTTGCAAAATGTGATATTTCCTGTTGCAGTTGAAACATAAATACACCAGAAAGCCTGTGCCAATAATCTTGGCCCTTTATAACATAAAACATGGTTATGCAGAGATAATTGAGGGTTAGGAAAAGAGACTAGGGTAAGGACAGCTGCTCACATTCTTTTCAAACAACACAGACAGTATGCAAAGTTTGATAAAATATAAATGGAGAGTACTCAGTAGCTAAACAAGAATCCACTGGGAGGTTCTCCTGCAGAAAGGGAACAGGCATGAATTCCAAGTCTGGCAAACATACAATGAAACACACTTTAATAATGGGAAAGCTGGGAAAAGAACGGAAAAGAATTCCTCTCCTCCATCCCTGAAAATGATGCCTGATACCATGTTAGGCCAAATGGAAAATATTAAGAGAGAAAGGGCAACATTCAGTTAGCTGAAAAGCTAATAGTCAGGTTCACACAATCAGGGAACGAAAAGAAGCCACAGTGACTTTTTTCCCTCATGACACAAATGCCATATACACCCTGCCTCATTTCCATAATTAACTGTATTATGTGTGGGTTTCTCTGAATCGAGTTGCTGGGTTAGACAGGTGGCTTCCATAACACCCAGCAACCCATGGCTAATTCTAGAGTTCCAGGGTAGTTTGGAAAATACCCTACTGCCTACCATCAGTGGGTTCGGAAGTCATGGTTAACCTGAATGCAGTGTGGGTAACCACGGAAATGAGTACTGTATGACTGGCATGCTTGGCGAAGTAAAAAGAAGCCACTGTGGTTTCTTTTCTTCTGTGAGCCCAATAATTGATTCTGTCAAAGCAAAGATGGCATAGACTCAAACCAACTAAAAATCTCAAAAGCATCAGAGCCCTCCTCAGAGTCACTCTAGGTGGGTATACAAGGTTCAAAAATAAAGGAAAAAACTGTAGTTTCCCTAACCAAACCCTCAGTGAAATGAATACAAAGAATAAAATCAGGAATTAATGCGAAGTCTTAAATATTCTAGCAATGAATGATTCGAGCAGCCTCACAAAAAGAAGTCTCTTCACAAGACGAACATGTTTAGATACAGTTGGTCATGGAATGGACCAGAGGAAGGCAATGCTTTGGCACCGAGGATGTGGTGTGAGATTTAAATGTTGAACAGACTGGAAACAAGGCCCATAGAGCTATCAAATATAATGCATGGGTAAGTGAAAAATGCCCAGAGAAGTACAACACCCTTATCTTTGCCTTCCAAAGAGGGAACACCTAATAATGAGGAGATTTTTTTAAAGAGTTGAAAAGGAAAACACAGGGAGTCAGATATCTTTTATTGAAAACTTCAGGAAACTACCAAGTCCATATGTACTACCAAGCTAAGAAGAGGCCACTAAGGAAGGTATTAGAAGAAAGAAGACTTCCTTCAAAAACAGGAGAGAACAAAAAAGAACTCAAACTTTTGTAAGAGAAATGAAAGCAGGCAGTAAGTGATGCACAAAAGAAATTTGAGCTGCACATTGCTAGAAACATCAAGACTAGCAATATAAATAAATGAATTAGGTACAGGAAACTAGTTGAGGTTATTGGATTGGATTGGATTTCTGGGCAAAGGAATTAAAGTTGTTGGAAAGGGGGAAAAGAAGTTTGCAGAGAAGCTGAATTAATTATTTGCATCCTCACTGTGGAAGAAGTAGGTATATACCTGTGCCTGAACTGATTTTTTAAAAGACATCTGCTAAACTGGGGCGAATAGTAATAACAAGATATGACATTCTAGACCTTATCAATAAGGTCTATTCATTGGGTTGAGATACTAATGTGAAATTGCTGATCTAACAAAAACATAACTTTCTCAGATAAGTTTTCATATCTGATGCCAAGGTTTTTTAAACAAATAAGAGGCTACAGGAAAGTACTGGGCAATTAGCTTACATTTGTGGAAATAAGAGGGTTCTTCAAAAAGTTTCTGCACTTTTAAAAACTCTATTTATTAAGAATTTCAAAAACAAATTACATCACTTCTCTACACAGTCACCTGTCTTTGCGATGCATTTTTCCCAGTGTCCCTCTAACTTTTAAATGCCATCAGCAAAAAATATATAAAATATATTTCTAAAATATAAAATATAAAAGTGTGGAAACTTTTTGAAGACCCCTCATATTTATTAAAAATACAACTGTCAAGCACATAGGGAGGCAAGTCTTACTGAAGAAGAATCAACATGGTTTCTGCAAAGCTCTGCCTCAACCCTTTGGAATACTTTGGGAGTGTCAACACACATGCGGATTGGGCTGATCCAGTACACACAAACCCAATATTAAGAAATTAATTGTGAGTTTCTTTCCCCTTTATGTTTTTCTTCATCCTTCCTTGTCCACAGTAGCAGCAGCACCATCCATTGGTGGGTTATCAGCTTACCGTTCCCCTGTGTAGCCAGGACCACAGCGACATTGACCTGTTGCTGAGTCACATGTCCCTCCATTGTGGCATTGACATTCCTGGGAGCAGTTCTTTCCATAGCGCCCTTCAGGGCAAGGCTGACCACAGACTGTGCCCTATTTGGAAACACAACCATCGTTTTATGTCAGGGATGTAGCAGAGGGGCAGAAGCTGAAGTGAATTTGAAGGAAGCAAGAAGATTAGCAGGTTCCTACACCAGAGAGCCTGAATGCATCTTTCAAAGGCCAGGTGCTTTTAGTGTGCAGTACAATGTACAACTGCCTTAAGTGTTAGGCTGATAAGCTACTGGAATTTTCATGCTATAAAATGAAAAAAAAAATCCATGCTGTAAAATATATTTAATCCTAGATTTTATTCCTAAGCAACAGTAAATATTTAGATATTCCAACAGTTCTGCATTGTTTCTGCACACATGTTAGTGCAAACAAATGTGTTAGTATTAAAAATTCTGAAACAAAAAACCTTTTCAGTATCTCAAATTCTTTCTGCTTTATGTGTTGGTTTAACATGCTTTGGGGTTAAAGTTCATAATAGAAGATCTGCTATATGGATCCTGCTCAGTCCCATTGCTCAAGATAAGATGTCTTCCAGCAAGTGTTGTTTAAACCAGTAATGTTGCATGGCACAACTGCTATGAAACTAAGACAACAGCTCAGGTAGGGACAAAAAGCTGAGGTCACAAATTGGCAAGTCCTGAACTAGAGAAGTATTCGGATGGAATCATTATGGAATCTTTAGGGAAACTGTATTTTTGGCTCTTGTTCAGACTTTTAAAATATGTAAAATTAGTAATATAATAGCAGAATATCCATCCGATGCAGACAGGAACTAGTATATGGCTAGAAGACCAGAGCAGAAACATCTAAGTAAATACCTGTCTGAGCCTTGCTAGAGTTTCAACTAATTCATCCTGTGTGGGACAGAAAGCAGGCATTTTCCTTTCCTGTTCTCTGAAAGTCTGTTTAGATTCTTCTATAAAGGTGCACATGGAATACCATATGTTTTTGTAATGGCTTGGCTTTGTTCCCTTGTTGTGACACATTTCCTGTTTTCATGCCTGATGCCAGGCTGTCATTCAGATTAAAAGTTCACCCTCGGTCACAGTAGTTGATGCTCTGCCATTGCAAAGAGTGGGCTTACCATCCAGCCAGGTGGACAGGCGCATTCTCCAGTTACATGATGACACACTCCCCCGTTCTGGCACGGGCATCGTTCTTCACACTGTGGTCCATGCTTGCCAGGGGGACAGAGATCCTCACAGCTGAAAAAAGTATTAACCAACCAATATTAACCAACAATTTTTCAGCTTAGGAATGGAAAACAGAAAGTTGCAGAAAGGATGAGGATATAGATGATGGACAATATTGCTAATCTGTAAAAACCAAGGGATTTGGCCTACATCACCAGTCTCCTACCAATGTATTGACTCTAATTCAATTAATTCCACTGGCTTCCAGTTGAAGTCCAGGCCCAATTCAAGGTTCTGGTTTTGACCTATAAAGCCCTAAACGGCTTGGGACCAGGATACCTGAAGGAACGTCTCCTTCCTTATATGTCCTCATGCCCCTTAAGATCTATGAGAGAAGCCCTACTCCGGGAACCCTCTCTAAGAGAGGTAAAAAGGTAATCAACTAGGAGTAGGGCCTTCTCTGCTGTGGCGCCCAGACTCTGGAATGTACTTCCCAGAGAGGTACACCTGGCGCCAAGTTTATACTCTTTTCGGCACCAGGCCAAAACCTTTTTATTTAAACGATATTTTAAACTTTAATAGTTTTTATGTTTAGTCGCTCTGTTTATTTTGTGATTTATTGTTTTGTTCTGTTTTATTATTTATTGTAATTGTTTTAATTGTCTTTTTAAATATTGTAAGCCGTCCTGAGATCTTGTATAATAGGACAGCATACAAAACTTTTAATAAATAAATAATCAATAACAGAGCTATGTTAAAAGGTTTAAAATCTATTCATAGCATTAGCTTAATTTGTAGGGTTCCCTCATCCACTTCCAGAATCGTTCACAGAATTTTGAGTGTATATTATGGAAAATGTTGACACCTCATTGAGGGACTGTATGTTGGGCTTACTTGGGTTCCTTGAGGAGCTGGATTTCTACTCTCTTGCCTTTTCTCTGACTCAGTAGGCAGGCAAGCTAATGCAATGTGGCTTATAAGCTGCCCTACCCACAAGGAGCCCAACAAATCTTTGGGCACATCTTGAGAAATAGTGCCCCTCCTTTCCCCTTCTCACTGATGAGTCCTCCTGTGGGACCTCCTTTCCTCTCCTCTGCCTCAATATTTCCCCTCAGTCCTCTTGAGGGTCAGGGTGGACAGAACAAAGCACCCCTACACACACACACACCGCTGCAGAACCCCTTTTGGGCTCTGTTGGCTTTTGGGCCTTTTGCCCACAGACTATGAAAGAAGGCTCTGAAGCAGCCTATCACAATCCATGTGAGCAGCTCAAGCCAAAGTTTTCCTAGCAGCGCCTTGGAGAGGAACCGAGCATTTCTTCACATTCATACACAGGGGTTTCAGGGCACACGAACAAACAGAGGATATGCACCTGAGGCAATCAGTTTTATTTACTTTTCTGGCTGAGCCACCCTGAAAGTATGTACAAAATAGCATATGGTCAAGCTATTCCTATTTACAATGGATTCTACCTGCTTCCTGATCCCTGCCCCTATTTTTGTCTTTTAGAAATGCCTTGTTAACAAATTCATTCACATGAGTTACTACAACAGTCAGTCATCTGTCAAATTGTTCCAGCAAGTAATACTCTTTTGCACAGCGGCAGAAAAATCTGCTACACTTCAATTCTCAGAACTGGTCCCTGCCCCCATTCACAACAACTTTGCGAGGTAGGTTAGGCTAAAAAGGAGAGTGATCACTCAATGCCATGCAATGAGATTAATCATAGAGCGGAGATTTGCAGCTGAATCTCTCTGGTTCAAGTCCAACATGTCATGACAGCACACTCAGCCAGAAGGAGCATGGTGGGCTGGAAGCCTCTCGTGCTCACTGACACATTGCTTTGTTGTTAAATAGTTGCAAAAAATTCCAGCAGCAGCAAAACTCATTGTGGCACAACTGTTTGTGCACCAGAGGCCAATTTGTTAGACACATGAATTAACCATTTTAAAGATAACACTACCTGTATGGAATATTTATGCTATAATGTATTTGCTATTCTTTAAAGGTTCCGTAAGGCTTGGTTGCTTATCTGTTGTCTACAAATTAGTATTCTGGGCTTTCATCTGGGAGGAAAGTTCCAGCCCAACTAAGCTATGACCCTTGCGTAAAACAGTCACATAAAATCATAAGGACAGATGAGGGACAACAAGACAGGAAAGGTAACTATGAAATCTGCTGCTATTCCACACATGACAAGCACAGGTGTTGCATACAACGCTCCGGTGTATCCAGGAGGGCATCGACATTCTCCGGTCACATGATCACAAGTGGCGCCATTCTGACATTGGCATTTTTGGTGGCAGTCATTTCCATATGTCCCTTGGTCACAGCGCTCTTCGCAGCGCCATCCCTTGAATCCAGCAGAGCAATGGCAGGCTCCGGTGATGGGGTTACACAGAGCTCCGTTTTTGCATTGGCAACGACTGGTGCAGTGGGGTCCCCAGTGGTAACTGTCACATGCTGAGCAGAAAGGAAAAATTACAAAGGGGTTACATGTCACCACACATCCTCCAATAATTAAATGCTGTAACTCTGTGAAAGTTGGCGGTAAAGTGGATTGCCCCATTTTCCTTTATGAAAAAAACAAAACAGGTAAGGGAATTGTACTGAACTGTTTACTAGAGACATTCAAAAAGAAACTGGACAGACCCCTGAGTGGAATGGTGTATCATGATGTCCTACAACACCAGGTGGTTGGACTTGATGGCCTTCATGGCCCCTTCCCACTCTATTATTTTATGATTCTATGATGAGTCAAAATACTGGAAATATGAGCTTTTGATTTCCCTTTTGATCAGTCAAAGGGAATGGACAACACCAGGCCATGTACATGGGACCCATATGCCATCCCATCATCCCTCTGTTCAGCCAATGGGCAGAGGCAGCTTGCGTACATCTTCCATTCCTTGTACTGACCTGACCCATTGAACCTTTATGCATCCACACACACCAAGTTCAAGGAAGAAGGCTCCATTTTACCCTATGGCAGGCCCTCTGTGCATTGTTGCTGTACCCATGGCAAACTGAATCAAAGGCATCATTTTGTAAAATGTATGTATGAAAAGCCCTATGACTACATTTCCTGCAAAATTTCTTAGTTGTTCACTTCCAAAAAAAGAATAAACAGGGTAGTTTTTCTCCGATGGGAAAAAGTACATGTAACCCATAAAAAGGTCACACTGGGTTCACTGGGAATTTGCTAAACATATGCTCAGAGCATCTGCTTTTTATTTTCATGTTGTACCGATAACAATAGCTCCATGGCCACATTTGAGATTAAGTGCTGGCTGATCATGTGCACTTAGTGACTGACAGCTATTGTTGTCATTGCCTGCTCCCAAGGCAGAGCAGTCAGCCAGAGAACAGACCTACTTTTCTTGGAGGAGACAAAAAGAACTTAAGACATCTCCTCAGGGTGAAAATTACTCTGGCACAGGACTAAATCATTCAGACTACACAAACAAAAGAGGCTAGCTTCCTTTAAGGATCATTTCCCATTTATATGATTAGTAACCCAGATATATCTTAAAATTGTAGATTATGTGGCTATGACAGTTTCCCCTTGAATAGGACTGTCCTCTAATGGCTTTATGATTTGCAATGTACAACAGAATGATCATTGTGTCTATATGGCAAAAAGCACCATTATTTGATAGGGTCTTACAGTCCAAAACAAGCTTTTGCAATGCTCCTTTTCTAGTCTGGTCAAGTTGCACATCTGTTTCTGTACACTATGCTATATAAACATGCAACAATCACATATCATGTGCATTTCAATTTGGACATCTTACCTCTAAAACTAGAGAAAGTCTTATGATTATTCACACAAATCAGAAATTTTAAATGCATATGGATTATATGGATTATATTATAAGAAATGGATTATATTATAAGAAATGGATATATAATGGATATATAATGGATATATAATGGATTATATTATAAGAAAATTACATGCTTATGCTTAATCAATCTCAGAAACTAACATGTTTTAAGATATTTGTTTTCTTCTCATGTATCTTCCCTGAAGACTTAGCACAGAGATCAGACTAATTTTTCATAACACCTCCTAGAGTGCTCAGATTACAATCGCTTTTAAAGAGGAATAAGACTGCTTCAGACCTTCTCCAAGGAAAGATAAAAAATGAACTTGAATGTCTTGGAATGTCTGAACAAACCACTCAGAATTGAAGAGCTAGTCACTGGACAGCACTGATATGGAATAAAAGGCAGAACATTCATATCTGGGGTGGATTTGTACTAGGCACAAGTAAAGTCCAGTGCCTCTAACTACAGTCAACCTATTAAAGGTAACGGTTCCCCTACACATACGTGCTAGTTGTGTCTGACTCTGGGACCAGTGCTCATCTCCAGTTGTAAGCAGAAGAGCCAGCTTTGTCTGGCCACTCATGTGGCCAGCGTGACTAAACACCAAGGCACATGGAACGCTGTTACCTTTTCCACCGAACGCTGTTACCTTTTCCATGGTATCGCATGGTACCATGCAATAAAATGAAGCTCAGAAAATGCAGCTCTTTTTATTTTTACCTTTCTTATCAATGACTAGAAGTGATTTATTTCATGCAACCCACCACCAGTCATACTGATAGAGTTTAACCATTCTCAAAGTTGCCCCAGCAAGTGCATGCTATTCCACATTTTCCACAGCATTAATGCAGATGAGACAGTACTTGCTCATATAACTGTTATGTCATCTGTTGAAGCACTGTTGGTCTTGAGGCTATGACATGCTCAGACATTCCCTGAGCATGGCTGACTATTGCTGATATTAACCTGCCTCACTGTGTGTCTGAACATTTCCACTGTAAGATGGGCTTTCTGAATGCAGGACAACTTTTCACAGCTTGGGGATGAAGCAGAGACAGTGGTGGGGTGAGGAAGAAGAAAGGCTGTATGATGAAGGACTGTAGCATCTTTGTCCCTTTTGTTTGCAACCATGAGACTCCTATGCAAGCTATTAGGCTGGGGCCATGGCTGCTTCGTGGACCATCAGCTTGCTTAAGTGCAGGATGCCCTCTTTGCCCAGAACTGGCATCCCTGTCCCCTTGGAAGCACCCAAGGCTGATGGAACAGTATCCTTTATCAGGCCTTGCTGAACCCCTGATATGGATGCCCCTGCCAACACTGCATAGAAATTTCTTGGGTTCAGAAAATGGCCACTGCTCACAGAGGATCATTTTCTTCCACCATTAGCAAACTTTACTTGCCACATCCAAAGAAGGAGCAGTTGTCACTAACTCTTTAGCGATGAGGCATTTTGAGCAGCAGAACAGGCAGCCCTGCCTGGCTTTTTCATCCCTCCCCACCACAGAAGCCAAACCCAGAACACAAGAAAAACCTAAGAGAGGAAGAAAAGGGGTTTTAGCCTCCCTGCACACCCTCCCCCCAAAAACAAAATATACCAGTGTGAAAGAGTCATCCTGCTGTTCAGCAAGATGCAGAGCCATGCCTGAGAGGTCTTTCCATTTTTGCTTTCTACAGAAGCGGGAGTTACTCTGCTCTGCTCCCAGCTAACTTAAAATCTTCACTATTAGGTTGGAAGATGCAGCAAGAACTTCATTTTACCATGAATGCATCAGTCAGGAAGGCGCTCCACTCCCTGGCCTTCTGCCCTATAATAATAGTGAGACTTAACATTTATATAGCACTTTTGTTTCTGACATATTCATTTTCTGATAATTCTTACTGCGCAACATTCTTGTATCTCCATACTGCAGATACATGTGTAAGGCTCCTGAGAAACATAAGGACTTTTTTTAGCTGCTACAGTATACTAACTTCCACTGAAATTGTGTATTTACAGAAAGAGAAATACTAATGTCAGACTTCATAAATTACGTTCAAGGGGTAATCATGTAAGCCTGCTGCAGCAAAAACCACAAAGAATCTTTGTTGGCACTTTAGAGATTTATTAGACTTTAAGGGGCCACAAAACTCTGATTTTCCCCTCTGCTTACAAATTAAGTAAAGAAAGCTTCCAATCTCTTTTTGCAGTACCTTTTTAATCCAAGAAGCAGATTATGGCCATTGTAGGAACACACATGATTACTGGAAGCAAATAATATTCGTGTGCAAGGCAAGTCAGATTGTTTTTCATCAAATATTGATTGGCCTCTAATTTAAATGGTCTAAGATGGAGAATTGAAAAGATCTGCCAAGCATAATTCCTTGAAGTTGCTTGAAATGAGGTATGAGCATAGTTACAATGAAAATTATGATTTCTAAAATTGTGTAAGTGTGCTTAGAAATTCTATGTCTGAAACATTGCTTTATCGCTTAATATTGAAATATTAAAAGCATATGGAAACTGCACAGCTGTTGATCTGTTGGAAGCAGTATGTCTGGTATAATGATTATCTTGTTATAATGATTACCTTCAGGTTACAGATGATCAATCAAGGGGTTAATCAGAATATATACCCCAACAACTGCCATAGCTGTTCCAAGGTCAGAGAGAAGAGAAGGAGAAGGGCAGCCAAGACTAATTTCTACTAAATCAAGTAGTAAATTGCCAGTCATATAAGAATGCTTAAATGAGGTCAAGGGGAACCACATTATAAATGGAAAGAAGCCACTTTGGTTTTCAGGGAAAATAAATATTAAGCAAACAAAAGCACAATTTTTAATGATATATTCTAGTAAAGTCATCAAGTAATGATTTGAAAATTTAATGGGAAGCATTTGAATCCATGCAAAACAAAAGTATATTTTAGGAAAATTAAAAATCTCATTAAACTTTTATTCACATCTTTCTTTCTTTCTTTCTTTCTTTCTTTCTTTCTTTCTTTCTTTCTTTCTTTCTTTCTTTTTGAACATTCAAATAATTTGAGGACAATATTGCTTTAGTCCTCTGTAGAACAAATTCAGGACTTCACGCAAAATATGGAAGAGCTAACATTTCGCTTACAGCATCTCCAGTGAAAGATATGCCTTTGGGATTAAGAATATTATATTATATAAACAATATTAAAATGCATAGAACTCTAAGATAGTACAAGTTTACCAGCAACAGCAACAAAGGGAAATTATTAATGCTCTCTGAAGCTCAATGACAAATGACATCTTTGTGTGGAGAAAAAAATCCCAGGAAACAAAATCTATCTTCAAGAGACAACCTTAGCTTTAATATCAATGGCTTCATTCTTGGGATGTTTTCACATTTCATGAATGATAGTGCAAGTTGGATAGCTTTTAACTGATACTGCTAGGAGCTGTCAGTTTGGAAAAACCTTCACTTTGGTGGCTGCAAATCAAGACTAACAAATATATTAAGGTCCAAATTTTATGAAGTCCCACCTATGAAAAACTTTGCAGTAATAAATGCATTGCTTCTATTGCGCGCTCTCTCTCTGTCTCTCTCTGCATATATATATCTCAGTGAATAGTTTCTATTAATTTATTTTTCTAATGGATTCCAGAAATACATAGTACATTTTTGC